AGTGTGTATATATTAATACACAAACACTATAGTGTGTATATATAATACACTCACACACACTATATCGTGTATTTATAGTCCTAAACAAAAACTTTAATAGCATCGTACTATTAATTATTAATTTACATTTAGTTACTTTTAATCGACGTCAGATTTCAGACTCGCTTTTAACAAGATTGGACGTAATAATAATTATGTTCAGATTTCACGAACAACGTAGCTTTGGCTCTCACGTTAAACCTTGCTCGTTGGAGCACCGGTAGAAGATGTGCGGCAACGGGAGGTCCCCCTCGCCGGCTCCCGGACGCCACTGTATCTCGCACTTGGGTGTTCTTCAAAAGCTCCGCTGGGGTTTACATATCGGGACGTGTGGCGCGGCTCAGCATTCTGCTCCCCGGTCTCGTGCCCCCGCACAAACCGTTACCCATACCATTCTCGCCCTTTACTGACTGTATCTGAAACTGTCTAGAAGCCGCTGTATTATCCCCCCCCCTCCCTTGCTCATCCCTCAATCCATTCCGATAATGGTTTTCACGCTTCTCTGCCCGTCGAATATTATGTTCTTCCAAACGGAAAAACACACAGTCTATTTTTGTCTAGTTTGAAAATCTGTAAACTTCTAGACGACATCACATGTGATTCGACACTTGTTTCTACAATCTTCGAAACTTAAATCAACCAATCCGAAGGAAAAACAAATAAATCCTCCTTTTGTTTCTAACCCAGCCAGGACATTTCAAACAGCAAATTATATACGCCATCTTGTGAGCATCTTCAGAAGTTTAATGGAGTGACATTTTGAAACTGATGCACTTACTATTACTGGCTTCAGCATGGGTTAAAATAGGTTTTGGTTTTGTTTTAACTAAGAAGTTACGTAATAAATCAGTCTATACAACTAGGAAGTTACGTAATAAACCAGTCTATACAACTAGGAAGCTACGTAATAAACCAGTCTATACAACACGTAATAAACCAGTCTATACAACTAGGAAGTTACGTAATAAACCAGTCTATACAACACGTAATAAACCAGTCTATACAACTAGGAAGTTACGTAATAAACCAGTCTATACAACTAGGAAGTTACGTAATAAACCAGTCTATACAACTAGGAAGTTACGTAATAAACCCATCTATACAACACGTAATAAACCAGTCTATACAACTAGGAAGTTACGTAATAAACCAGTCTATACAACACGTAATAAACCAGTCTATACAACTAGGAAGTTACGTAATAAACCAGTCTATACAACTAGGAAGTTACGTAATAAACCAGTCTATACAAATAGGAAGTTACGTAATAAACCAGTCTATACAACTAGGAAGTTACGTAATCAAACAAAAATTACATTTACCAGCAAAACGTAAAAAGTCGACATGATAGGGCTTTCCAAAACACTTAGCATGAAAATACTTTAGCCACTTCAACACTTGAAACAGAAAGAAGATTCTTATAGAAGCAATTAAACGTCACTTTAAACAGACAGAGGGATGTTCTGGAGTAATTAAACGTGACTTTAAACAGACAGAGGGATGTTCTGGAGTAATTAAACGTGACTTTAAACAGACAGAGGGATGTTCTGGAGTAATTAAACGTGACTTTAAACAGACAGAGGGATGTTCTGGGAGTAATTAAACGTCACTTGAAACAGACAGATGGATGTTCTGGAGTAATTAAACGTCACTTTAAACAGACAGAGGGATGTTCTGGAGTAATTAAACGTCACTTGAAACAGACAGAGGATGTTCTGGAGTAATTAAACGTCACTTGAAACAGACAGAGGGATGTTCTGGAGTAATTAATCGTCATTGAAACAGACAGAGGGATGTTCTGGAGTAATTAATCGTCACTTGAAACAGACAGAGGGATGTTCTGGAGTAATTAAACGTCACTTTAAACAGACAGAGGGAGGTTCGGGGTGTAATTAAACGTAACTTTAAACAGACACAGGGATGTTATGGATGTAATTAAACGTGACTTTAAACAGACAGATGGATGTTCTGGAGTAATTAAACGCCAATTGAAACAGACAGAGGGATGTTCTGGGAGTAAACAGACAGAGGGATGTTCTGGAGTAATTAAACGTCACTTTAAACAGACAGAGGGATGTTCGGGGTGTAATTAAACGTGACTTTAAACAGACACAGGGATGTTATGGATGTAATTAAACGTGACTTTAAACAGACAGATGGATGTTCTGGAGTAATTAAACGTCACTTTAAACAGACAGAGGGATGTTCGGGGTGTAATTAAACGTGACTTTAAACAGACACAGGGATGTTATGGATGTAATTAAACGTGACTTTAAACAGAGAGAGGGATGTTCTGGAGTAATTAAACATGACTTTAAACAGAGAGAGGGATGTTCGGGTTGTAATTAAACGTCACTATAAACAGAGAGACGGATATTCTGGATGTAATTAAACCTCAACTAAATAACACTTTGTGTACCGATATTTATAGTTCTGGTCTTCCCCAGTAACACGTGAGGTTTAATTTTCCAAAACGTTAGATATGTGAAAATTCAAGTTGTTTAGTGGACTGTATTTGGCATATCATCGTGAAATTACTTTAAACAACTGGCGTCACAGGAAAAAGTGTCCCTTGTTTTTTATTTTCCCCTTAGTGTACTTAAAAATTTCCTGGAATATATTTATTTTTGTCCGTCAGAGTTCTATATAAAGTCAAATAAAGTAATATTTTTTCAAATGTTTTACGAAACCTCTCTTCTCTAGCAAATACCGTTGTACAGTCAAATGTTACACAGGATTTTTATTATTGTGTTTTCATCGATGTTTTAATAGATATTTTATATCTGTTGTATTGATAAAGTTGTTTATATAATGCTGTATTTTACTCTTATGTCATGAGGTTTTCAAAGTTTCGTACAAAAATTTCAGTTTCCTGACGTTTTTACTTAGTTAGTTTAATTTAATATTTCCACTAACAGATTACCCAGTTAAAAATTGACAACAACCCTTTTGCTAAAGGATTTCGGGATTCAGGAGCTGGAAAAAGGGAGAAAAAGTAAGTTCATAGATAAATTACCAAATTAACTCGTTGGTAGCTGTTGTTATCAAGGCAGAATCGTGTAACTTCTCTGATTTTTTTGTTTCATTCAGGATGTTCCTATTCTCAGTGGATGTTCTTGCCCTTCTATATTTCTTAGAAGTCTGTGCTTGTGAATCTGAGATCGGGACTAAAGCATCCTTCTCACAAGTCTTTGTTCTCCTCGTGTTAATGACCTGAACAGCTCAATATATGTTATCATAAGAAATTATTTTCCGATAAACCATTGTGACCTAACGATCGTGGCACAAACTATCTTCTCATAGGCCTTTGTTCTCCTCGTGTTAATGACCTGAATAGCCCAGTGTATGTTATCATAAGAAATTATTTTCCGATAAACCATTGTGACCTAACGATCGTGGCACAAACTATCTTCTCATAGGCCTTTGTTCTCCTCATGTTAATGACCTGAATAGCCCAGTGTATGTTATCTAAAGAGTTAATTTCCCGATAAGCCATGGTGACCTGACGATCTTGACCTAAAGTATCGTCTCACGGACCTTCGATCTTCTATTGTTGGTGACCTGACGATTTTAATTTTTTCTTCTTGACACTTTTAACTTTGTGACCTGATGAATTGGACAATTGTTTGTATTCAGCATCACGTGGTCTAGTAATTTTCATGATATATCTTCTTATCTATTTTGGTTTGGCACGTTTCCCAACACCATCTGGTTTCTATGTTGATTAGTTTAGTGTGTCTGTTTGTCAACAAGATTTCTCGAAAACGGCTGAATGGATTTGAACAAAATCTGGCGTACATTTGTAGTATGGCCCAATTTAGTAGTTATTAGTTTTCGGAGGGTCAATATCGAAGTTAAAGGTCATGTTAACATGGTGACCGATTTTTCACACTATTTTTGCTCTATAACTCAGTCAAAAGTGACTGGATTTTGATGAAACTTGGTGGACATGTGTAGAATATCATTCCTCATTGTTTGTTGGTAACGATGGACATGTGTAGAATATCATTCCTCATTATCTGTTGGTAACGATGGACACGTGTAGAATATCATTCCTCATTGTCTGTTGGTAACGATGGACATGTGTAGAATATCATTCCTCATTGTCTGTTGGTAACGATGGACATTTGTAGAATATTATTCTTCATTGTCTGTTGTTAACGATGGACATGTGTAGAATATCATTCCTCATTGTCTGTTGGTAACGATGAACATTTGTAGAATATTATTCTTCATTGTCTGTTGGTAACGATGAACATATGGACACATATTCGTATTTTTTGGGGGCCGAGTATGATCAACGCTGCGTGGAGGAGGTATGTGCTCTAATGAGTGTCCCCCTGGTTACTTAAGTTTTTGGCACCTCGTGAATCTTGGGATCAAGCTTTATCACTTCATTTTAAGACCGAGTAGGTTTACTTTCTAGAAATTTAAGGGCCTTGTACAATAATAGATTTAGTATTTTTTCACTTTTCTGAATTAATTACGCAACTAATTCTTTTTTCTTCTTCTTCCTATGTCTAACAAGTGTCAGCTTTTATGTTGTTTCTTTAAATTAATTACATGTTTGTGACATAAATATTTTAACCAAATGGAATCTTTGGAACTAAAAAAAACTCGTTTTCCTTAGATATTTGGGTTTATGTTGGTTTCTTGTTAACTTTTGCGTCCCTCCAAATCGTAGACGCCACACTACGCTGATGGGGTCACAGACTTCTCAGATGCACACATTGGAGGCGACACAAGGAGGCGTAAGCAGCCAGAACAGGGAGAGTTCAAACCACAATCCGGATCCTGATCCACTAGATGATACCAGTGATGAAGATGAACGACTCGATGTAGGTGGCGCTGCTGACTTGAGACCCGCAGTGTCAAATACAGGGAGTCAGTCAAAAGGTAGAACCAACTTTGATTACGTAAAGGTTTTAAAAATATATATATAACTTATCATCTTCTTTATATTACAACTTATGGTTTATAATAATATTTCATTCATTTGAATACAGTGTTTAAAAGACGTTTGTTAGCTATATATTAGAAAATGGAAATTCTGAAATTATTCAGAAATGTAATCACGTTTTATATGACAGTAACCTTTGCTGAGCTATTAACTTTAGCACGGGCAAAACAAATATGTGTTTTCACTAGTTAACTTTCTGATAATAAGTTTAGTTGTTGTGATTTAATTACAAGATTTGAAAATAAATTCATCTCAGTGAGTTTGTTACTCTTTAACAAAATCTTAATTTGGACTTCAAATGATTACCATTCTCTTCTTTTGTCATCTATTAAAATGATGATGAACGATACATATAACAGAAAACAAAAACATATTCAGCTCCGCCCGACTAACGGGGAGAGAGAGAGAGAGAGAAACAACAAGCTTCAGTTTCAAGACGTTATTCTAGACTATTTGAAGTTTTTATGTTTTATTCTCGGAAAACGTTGCCATTGTTAAATCTTCCTGCACGAGTTACGATAATCTGGATGGCGTGAAGGAATTCGAATGTTAAACCTGCGCACATGAGCTAAACGGCCAGTTGAGAGACCCCCTAAGATTCAGATATGGCCGTCGCAAATTTGGAACTATCATCAAGGGGTAAAACAGCAAGTCAGAAGCAACAGCTGTCACAAAGGCTTTTCCCGGCTCTTTGAACGGAATTTATCAAATTGATTGCCACTTCTATAGTGCATTCACAGGTGAAAATGTTCACGGAATCACGTCTCGAACCCCGGACCCTTTGATCCGTAGCCCGACACACTAACAGTTAGTGTAGGCTTAATCCTTGTCACATGTTTGAATGCTTAAAAACTGAAAAATGGCGGATTGACAGTCTTTGTCACAGGTTTGATTGCTTTAAAAACTGAAAAATGGCGGATTGACAGTCTTTGTCACAGGTTTGATTGCTTAAAAACTGAAAAATGGCGGATTGACAGTCTTTGTCACAGGTTTGATTGCTTAAAAACTGGAAAATGACTATCATACTTGTTTGTTTATAATATGAGCTTCAGGATTTAAAAATGCACAGCATCAAATGTTTCCGATTGTAATATTTAAGATTTTGTTCAAAGTCGTGACAACAATACTTAACCCCTCCCAGTATCACGAGCTGGCGCATACCAAGGGCTCTAAAGACGAATAAAATGTTCAACACAGGAAGAAAGGTGTTCGAAACTGAATATCACTGTTCACAATTTTCAGGAATGTGTTAAGCCTTTTAAAAGCCTAATCCACTACAATTCATGCTATGTTGAACATTTCTACATATCTGGTTAGTAAAAAAAGAGGGGTGGGGGAAGAAAAATCAGAGTTTTTATATTTGATCTAGTAAAACAATGAACGACAATAAATAACGACTCGGGTCAGAAACTCAATCCGACCAATTTTTGGCTCATATAACTTCTTTGCACGCCATCTTGTGGAAGCAGAGAATAATTATTAATTTTCTCACGTCACCTGTCGGCAAGCTTTCGAAGATCATAAAATCTTTATATTTCTGGTAATTTACATACTCTCTAAGTTTCGATTTATTTTAGAATAAATTTCGAAGACTCTACTAAGTGATATTGTTATTAGGATTATGAAGCTATAGACAGTTTTCGGGTTTTGTACAAACATATTGTCCCCCCGGTGGGCCAGTAGTAAGTCTTCGGATTTACAACGCTAGAATGGAAGGGGGGGGGGGTCTATTCCTCTCGGTGGACACAGCAGATAGCCCGATGAGGCTTTGATATAAGAAAACGCACAAACACGTTATTCGGACGTATCATTGTGAGAAAAACCAAGTTTGTTGACTAACAAACTATCGAAACACAACGAAATCGAAATAACTATTTGTGAATATTGAGAAAGTGAAATAAATATAGCAATGAATTTGTCCCACCCCCCAGTGGCACAGTCTGCGGACTTACAACGCTAAAATCCAGATTTCGATACCCGTGGTGGGCAGAACACAGATAGCCCATCGTGTAGCTTTGTGCTTAATTACAAACAAACAAACAAAAAATGAATTTTCTTTACATAATCAAGTGTTTATTTTTTTCATGATACTCGCTAAAACTTTTTTTGATATATTTTGTTTTAGAAGAATGCTCCAAAAAAGACACAACAGAAGATGTTTCAGTCAATGGTTATTGTAGCCAAAGCCCCAAACAAACGAGTGCTAGTCCAGGTTCTAAGACCACGCCCGAAAAATACGAAAGACGCGACAGTGGAAGCTCCACCAGTAGGTCAACCTCCCCATCAAGATGCCCGGATCTTAACTTTGCTAGCTTGACCTTCAACTCGCCCTCCGTCTCGACGGCTCCATTAAACCAAGTGGTTAGTCAGAACTTACCAATTGGTCAAGGCCTGCCCCATCCCCAACTCTTGCCCTATCTTTACCCTCCAACCTTGTATCCACACCTCTTCCTACCTTCTACTTCATCCTTGACTTCGGGGTCGTCGTCTCACTTTTATCCTCTGTTGGCCCACAGCTACTCTGGTTTGATAGATTTGGGTAACAGACTACGACAGCATCGTTTTGCTCCATATTCTATACCATCGCTGAGTGGAACATCAATGTTGTCGTCTGTGTCTACAACTTCTTTGAATGATCCCATTTCTCACACCCTGTCCTCTTCTTCGAGACAACCAACATCGCCCGCTTCCGAAGCCAGCAGTTCCGATGGTTCAACCAATGACCTCAAAAACATTGAAAACATGGTAAATGGGCTTCAACGAAGACAGGAACAGCTAAATGTAGAGACTCTCACACGACTACATGACAAATAACAACAATGATACTGACGAGCGAAGGATAAATTTAAAACAAAGATGTCAGCAAAGTCATTTTCAGAACAATTGTACTGAGCTCCAGGAGAAACAGTCATCAACTTAATGTCTCATTACTTTTCTTAGGATGTACCATCTGAGGTCGAGTCCGTTTTTTTTGTTTTTGTTTTGTATGTAGCCTAGATAACATCCCACGTTATTCCTATCATATGTGTATAAGGATTATACACAGAAACCAAAGACACTATAGCATAGAATATCAACCTCGTTAGCCCATAATGCACTTTACTAAAATGACGTTGTTTTCCACTTGTGTCTTTTTTCTTCTTTTTTTTGATCAGAGAAAATGGTTAAAACATGCACAATTAAATAAATTCCTTTAACGCTTTACATATTGCACGTGCCATAAGACGATGAAACGCTGGAGAAACCTGGTAACTGGCTGGAAGGTGTAAAAAGGGAGTCGTATCTCTGAAACCGAGTTCATTACTCTACATATTTAAATTTGCTCGAGCACAACGTGTATACCGTTATTAAGAAACTAAACATATTGAACGATCCAGGCTTGAATGTGTTACACTCTGAATGAACTATTCGTGTGTTAGAGAAACAATCAAATGTTTGGAGAAACTATTGAGTATTTGGATGAAGAAAGTAAGGGATGTTTCCTAATTTAATTTGTAAACTGATAAACTATTCTCATTTTGTGCAGTATGTTTGTTTTTACTCAAATAGCTCATGCTGAGTTTGATTTGTGTTCCAAATCCACTTGTACTCTGTTGTCAGTGCCAAGTCTACTTATATATTGTATTGTAAGCCTCACTTGTATTATGTTGTCAGCTCCAAGTATACTTATATATTGTATTGTAAGCTCCAACTCACTTATATTATGTTGTCAGCTCCAAGTCTACTTATATATTGTATTGTAAGCCTCACTTGTATTATGTTGTCAGCTCCAAGTCTACTTATATATTGTAAGCCTCACTTGTATTATGTTATCAGCTCCAAGTACACTTATATATTGTATTATAAGCTCCAACTCACTTATATTATGTTGTCAGCTCCAAGTCTACTTATATATATTGTATTGTAAGCCTCACTTATATTATGTTGTCAGCTCCAAGTCTACTTATGTATTGTATTGTAAGCCTCACTTGTATTATGTTGTCAGCTCCAAGTACACTTATATATTGTATTGTAAGCCTCACTTGTATTATGTTGTCAGCTCCAAGTACACTTATATATTGTATTGTAAGCCTTACTTGTATTATGTTGTCAGCTCCAAGTCTACTTATATATTGTATTGTAAGCCTTACTTGTATTATGTTGTCAGCTCCAAGTACACATATATATTGTATTGTAAGCCTCACTTGTATTATGTTGTCAGCGCCAAGTCTACTTATATATTGTATTGTAAGCCTCACTTGTATTATGTTGTCTGCTCTAAGTACACTTATATATTGTATTGTAAGCCTCACTTGTATTATGTTGTCTGCTCTAAGTACACTTATATATTGTATTGTAAGCCTCACTTGTATTATGTTGTCAGCTCCAAATCTACTTATATATTGTATTGTAAGCCTCACTTATATTATGTTGTCAGCTCCAAGTACACTTATATATTGTATTGTAAGCTCCAACTCACTTATATTATGTTATCAGCTCCAAGTCCACTTATATTTAGTGTTGTAAGCTCCAACTCACTTATATTATGTTATCAGCTCCAAGTCTACTTATATATAGTGTTGTAAGCTCCAACTCGCTTATATTATGTTATCAGCTCCAAGTCCACTTATATATTGTATTGTAAGCCTCACTTATATTATGTTGTCAGCTCCAAGTACACTTGTGTTGTGTTGTTAGCTGTAAGTTCATTTATATTGTGTTGTCAGCTACAAGTCCACTTATGTTATTAGCTGTAAGTTGATAAACTATCCCATTTTTAGTGTGGTTGTGATGAAGTTGATAAACTATCCCATCTTTAGTGTGGTTGTGTGCTGAAGTTGATAAACTATCCCATTTTTAGTGTGGTTGTGTGCTGAAGTTGATAAACTATCCCATCTTTAGTGTGGTTGTGTGCTGCAGTTGATAAACTATCCCATCTTTAGTGTGGTTGTGTGCTGAAGTTGATAAACTATCCCATCTTTAGTGTGGTTGTGTGCTGAAGTTGATAAACTATCCCATCTTTAGTGTGGTTGTGTGCTGAAGTTGATAAACTATCCCATCTTTAGTGTGGTTGTGTGCTGAAGTTGATAAACTATCCCATCTTTAGTGTGGTTGTGTGCTGCAGCTTCTAAACTATGTCATTTTTAGTTTTGTCCTGTGCTAAATTTGAATAGACCCTATTGGTTCAACGGTAAGTCTGCAGGCTTACGACGCTAAAAATCAGGTTTCGATGCCTGTGATGGGTAGAGCACAGATGGTCCATTGTGTAATTTTGTGCTTAAAAACAACCAATACATTTGATAAGCTATCCCAACTTTAGCGTGGTCGTGTGCTGAAGTTATTAAACTAATTTAATTGTAAACATTTTAGATATGTTTTCGTAGATCTATACGGTCAATAGCTTATTTTGAATCACATATTTCACCTTATAGTTGATTTAGAAAGAAACCAGTTCTTATTTTATAACTTTTCTTATTAAATTCCAAAATATATAGTTAGCTATATACTTTAAACTTAGGTAAAACAGGAAGGTCTGAATAGTTGGATTGACTATCTGTGTTGATGTTCTTCGTTAAAAGTTTTACCTTATTAAGTTTTTTGCCCGCATAAGTTTCACTTCTTAGAAATGTATATGCCAAACGAAAAACGAAATTTACTCCTAATTTTTATGACTTGTACATTTGAAAATACAACCAAATATCAGGAAAGAACAACTGGACTATTAAAGGCATATATATGTTAAACTTAAGCCTTGATTAGACAGACTTCCACATCAGAGAAGCTTGTGAAGTAAGAGCCTGAGATAGAATTCCGATTGCTGGAAACTGTATGATTTTATGTGCCAAATGTAATATTCTCTCGCCCTCTTCTTTCCCCCTCTGTTTACGCTGGAAGAAGTTGTAATATTCTCTCGCCCTCTTCTTTTCCCCTCTGTTTACGCTGGAAGAAGTTGTATTAACTTCTTGGTATATCTCAAAATGTGAAATATTTTGATGATAGAACACAAGAGTGTGTGTGTGTGTATGCGTTACTCATATCTTACAAAATCTTTCGCTCGAGTCCGAAGCCCTGGAATTAGGATTATTACGCAATTAACTATGAGATGGCGCCACCGGCTTAGTACAATGATAAATTGTATGTGGTATTTTTTTGATCCATGTACGATCACAGCAATAATCTGTTTCCCAAGTAATTTTTTTTATTTCACATAATTCTCATCTTTACATATTCATTTATTAGGCTTTTTAATAACACTTTTCGATTTCAACGCTTCCCGTAAAGTGTAATATTGAGTGTTAGCGTTTGAAAAGAAAAAAGGTTCTTTTTACGCCAAATAACACACACACATTATAGCATGATAAAGACAGTTCGAACCCATAATCCTACTGTTCGACAAGAAAACCGTGTCAAAGCCAAATCATAAAATCACTAACTAAGTCCGTGTATATTCAAACATTTTGTTTTATTGCACATTTGTAGAAACCGGGTTTCGATACCCGTGGTGGGCAGAGCACAGATAGCCCATTGTGTAGCTTTGTGCTTAACTACAAACAAACTCATTTGTAAAATAGCGAAAGTCCGTAATATGTTTATAAGGTTATATTTTTCGCTGTAGCTTTTTTTTTTTTTCAGGTGATGCTGAAAATTCATAACATTCTGTACGAAGTCCGTTTTTTTCTGGTGCCATATAACTCCAGTCAAAAGAGTTAACTCGAAAGGATGAACATATATATATATCTGTATGAAGTCCGTGTGGTTCTCGTTGAAGTTAATTTTTTTATTTCTGTTGGTAAACTAATACCGACATTAAACCTGACAACAATATTAACCACACTAGTGTTTCGACAACATTTCAAACTGAAGGAATATTTATATAACGACCTCTGTATCCAAACTGAACAAGTGACATTCAAACTTGTATAGGAACTTTAGCTTGTATAACTCCAGTCCTAGTCCCCCCACCCCACCCCCCGAGTCCATGCACTATGACAATAGAGAGATTTAGATTCGAATCGCTTCCAGGCTTATCTTTTAGTTATCCACAAACACTGGTTAGAAGTAACCGTCATCAACGAATAATTATAGGCTTCAATGTAACCACTGGCAGTTCTGTAGAAGAATGAATAAGATGCACAGTTTGTAACACACTGACAACACTTGAGTTATTTAAAGAATATTTTACACGTGTTATGTTACTAATTTTCTTTAATCTACGGGTTTTTTATTGTATTAAATGTTACCGCTGTATTTTTAATATGACGTTCTGTTTTGATCGGCTTCATTTTGTACCAACCCCAATCTGCAATATATTAATATATATATATACAGTATATAAACATGTTTATAAACATGTTTTCTTGCTGTTGTGCATTGAAAATATTTACAAATTGTGTTAATGAATTTTGTTTGTGTTATGATTTCTTTTATATATATATATTATATGTTTACGGTTTACAGAAAAGAAACAAGACTCGTAGCCTATTGAATAATTTGACAAAAGATGTAAATTGGGTGTACGTGTGTGTGTGTGTTGTAATATATTGTTCTATTTTATAAATGACAGAAATGGTTTCCGATGTCTCCCGTACTCGCTAAATGATAAAACCATCAAGTCAATTTACCTACGTCTCCAGCTTACATATATTTAAGGTTACTAATATCGAAACTTACTTTGTCCCAAGAATTCGTTGTTGTTGTTGTTGTTGTCCTTTTATTTCTTTCGTTTTAAATATTCCTCGCATTCGGCTCTGAAGGCTAAGTTAACACAGTTACTGAAGTAATGGGACGCGAAGAATTATTCTTCAACAATTTATTAAGTAGATGATCCCTTTGTACAGGTCACTATGGTGATATTTATTGTTCTCTGTGTAGACTTCAATCACATCATTAAATTGTTTTTCAATAGCAACGTGCTTTATTGTCTTTATGAAATTCGCCCTGATTTCACTATATCTTATCTCAACAAAAGCTGTAAGTTAAATATCAAATACTGAGGTAGAAACGTCAAGTAAAGAAGATAGCATAGTGATGTCGAAACGTCATGAAAAGACTGAGTAAAGAAGATAGCATCCTGATGTCGAAACGTCAAGTAAAGACTGAGTAAATAAGATAGCATCCTGATGTCGAAACGTCAA